CATTATATGACTTTGAGCAAATAATTCTGAAATTGCATGAATACTTGAGGCTGTTGTAGGTAGTCCTGTTCTCCTGCCATGAGCAGTCCAGACCTTGTGTTAACAGCAGTGCACTTCTCTCTCATTTTACTTAGTCCTTTTCTTACCTCTCTGGTGCATCACCTCTGCAGTGATTTTTATTCATGATACCAGATTATTAGGCAAAAAGCAGTGAGTAGCTTATCACTTCTGTTTCTCAGGCCTGGAAGAAAGCAAAGAGTGGCATCTGGATAAACTTAAGCTGTAGAGAAACTTAAGTGTTGAAGTCTGCCTCCTGTGTCCTCTGTGGTGGGCACATCTGCGTAGCTGTAGAGAGGTGAATTTAGCCAGATGTTTCCCTTACTTACCCAGTTAGTTACCCTTAGTAACTTTTGGTTTTGGCAGCTTTACCTTGGTTTAATTTTTTGATCCTCACCATAAGACTGCACAAAACACATCATGCAGGATAGGAACATGCTGAAGGTGGCATTCTAGGCAGAGGTAGTGAAAGGTTATGGTATCTTAGTGTTGAGGGAACTAAAGCATGAAGGGATCAGACAGTTTCAGTCCTTTAAGTCTCAAAAAATGTGGCTGTCTAGAATCACCTGATGAAAAAGCCATCTTAACAAGGCTGATGATGAAATGCTTGGTTGTGGAGCAGTGTGATTTGTTTAGAGTGCAGCTGGCAGTCACTGAGCAGGGATGGCTTTGCTGTGCTCCACAGCAGCTCTGTTAAGATGCTGCTGCAGTATTCTGGGAAGGTGCTGTTCTGCCTCTGCAGGCATGAGGGATGAAACCTGGGTAGGTTCTGCTCTTCAGATCTCTCCTACAGCTTTCCTGATCATACTTTCTATGTATCTCTGGGATTGCTGTCTGCTTATCACCTGTGCTATCTTTACATGCAGCAGGGTTTTTAAAATCCACTCAGGATTTCTCCTAATGGAAAATAAGTGTATCTCTTCTCCTGGTTTGTAGTCATTTATCTTCAACATAGAAGGAAGCACTAATTTCTTTCATGTGAATCAGGATGTAGTTGTTATATAGCTGTTGCTTTTAATCAAATGCAACTTAGAATGGCAATTAAAGCAAAGGATAACCAGGCCTGTAATGTAATTTCACTACTCCATTGGTTTTCTTGGGAATTGCAAAGGTCTAGGACAACTGTAACCAAAATAACTTGTGTCACAACCCCCTGAGAATGACCTGTTAGACCTGCTGTACCACTGTGCTAAGCACTGATCCAGATATGCCCCTGTTAAGGCTGTATGTGCTGAATTGTGAGCTCTTGGAAAGGTTAAACAACCTTTGCCATGGTATGTATTCTGCAAAAATAGCTTTTTTTTGCTGTAGGATATCTCACTAAGATACTTGCTTTAGATGCCCCTCTGTGACGTCTTCAGTCCTGTATTGCTGGTAACCTGTAAACTCTTTGAGGAAATAGCAGTGAAAATTAGCTGTACTCATTGCATATTTTGCTCTTTTTTTAAAAATGAAAACAGGTCCTGCATTACCATCTTGCACTCACACTGGCCTTTTTGAAGTTGAGTGACTCATGAGGCTGCCAAGGCCCTTAGATTGTTTTATAGCCCTTGTATTTTGAATTTTAAGATGAACTTTTTAGAATGACTGTTCTGGTGCAGAGCATCTTATCCTGGGGGAACCTCCCTCATGATGAAGATTTCTTGACACTTTTACAGAAAGAGCAAAATAGCTGAAACTTGTCGCTAAAAAAAGGGACCCTTTTTAGCACTTCACCTAGAAGGAGAAGGAAATGAAAGAATTGTGTGTTATCTGCAGCTGCTGCATTCACCATACTGGTTTATTCTCTGAAGAGAGTTGCTTTTGCAGTTTGCAGTGCTCTGGTACCTCACTGTGAGCTGCTCCCCCTGGCTCGTGGCAGTGCCAGGCTCTGCTGCTCCAGGTACACTTGAAGCTGATGGTGTCATTCCAGCCATTCCCTGCCTTCAGCCTCTTGCTGCTGCTTGTGCCCTCCTTGGTCAGCTCAGCTGCTGGTCCAGCCATGTGGAGGAAGTGAGCTGGTGAAACTTACCCAGGAAAAGGGAGATGTGGTTGGTTTCCATCCACACTGGTTCCCAGACAGGATTCTGTGAGCAGCTGCACGAGTGCTTGTTTATGGTGTATCGAACAAGAAAGGGTGCTGCAGTGCTGGGGGTTGGCAGTGTTGGGCTGATGCTGGTGCTAGCTGAGCTGCAACACAGTGGGGTTTTTGTTTTGTGTGTTCCAGTGTCTCCAGCACAAAATGATATGAGATGCATAGAAGGTAACACTAGATATTTAAAACTTCCCTCAAAATTAATATTTACTTTGTCACAAAACAAAGCCCTTGATGAGGAGTTCTAGAACCTCTTTCAGTTGTCTTTGGGTATGTCTTTGCAGCTGAAAGTCTCCTGGCTTAATTAGCCTCTCCTAATTATCTTTGATCAGGAGAGGCTAATTAACTCTGAATGTTGCCAGTGTAGAGTTCTGAGGAAATTTGAATAATTCAGTATAATATCAGTGAACATAGTGGGCGAATGGGAAGATTTATTATCAGGATTCAAGTCTCTCTGTCATCATGACTTCACTGAAGGGATAGGAGGAGAGTGCTGGCTAAGCTGCAGATTCAAATATTCATTACCTGTTGCACATTGAGTTCTTAACTATGTTGTGGTCTCTAAATCTCTCCCAGATTTAATTACCTTCTTCCAACAGGTTTAGGAGAAGTGAGACTTTAACCCCCAGATGCTGAAGGGTGCAAGGAAGTAAAAAATCATGGAGAGATAAGGACTCACATCTTGTTCAGAAGTGCAGGTGTAGGTTAGGACACTCCACAGTTTTTGGTTTTTTTTTCCCCAAACCTCATTGACCTCATTGTGTACTGTAAGTGGTAAGAAACTTGTTTAACTTTGCTTGAGAGCTAATCAGTGAAACATATTACTTAAAGCAGGCACACAAATTAGTTTGCAATCCTAAAGAGACCTGGAGAAAATTGCTGTCTTAGTTAGAGTACAGTGTGGGCTGTTCTTTGTAAAGGATGAAAGGAAAAAAAGATAACAAAAATGAAGGGAATGAGCATGGTAGTTGATTGATTTCACTGCTACTGATTTCTCCTGATGTTAATTAAAAGAGAGATGGCACATTAAAATCTTGAATCATTTTTATAGGTAGCAAAATTCATATGCAAAGGTGTTTCTTAAGAAGTGTTTCAGTTGCATATAAAAACAGCCAGTGAAGCTACCCAGCTTTGAGGTTAGATGTGAAAAAATATTAAAGGTCTATATGGCTTCTTTTAAGTGAGGCATAATATTTCTGTTGACATTTTTGATACCACTTTCTAAGAAAATAAGACCATGTAGTCTCACAGAACATTTTTTATTAGGCTATTTTGTTTTTAATTTTGGAAGTTTTTGTATATTTGTAGTAGAGGTACCTGGGCATCTCATCTCAGGCTGTTTATAGTCTAAGTCATAAATAGACTTTGAAGGGAATGACTCAATCAGTGATTTTTAGGCTGTCAAACAAAAATTGCATATCCCTCATACCTTTCCATAAAGGAAAACTGATATATCACTGGAGTGGTGTTAAGTGATATCAAGTGTCGTACTGTGATTCTAAAACTTATGGCCTTTCAACTCTTGTTAAAAGCCTTTAAGACAAGCAACAAACAGGAAAATTTTCTTCAAAATTTGGTTTCAAAAGCTTTTAAAATGTGCTTTTGGTCAATCAGCTTTTAAGGTGGATTGAGCCTTGCAAATAAAGACACTTTTGGGAAAAATGGTGTAAGATGAGCTCTGAGGTAAAAGTATGCACTAAGCAGTTGTTTGAGGCTTGTTGGTGTGTTGTGGTGATCCACAAAGTATGTGGAACCATTTGTCAATGTCCCCATTGTAGTGGGTGAGACACTGGTGAGTTGAGAGATGGATTGGGAAAATATTCCACTGAAGGATTTGGTGAGAACTTTATGTATTTGAGTTGGCACTTCACTGAGTGCTGCATTCCTGGGAGGCTGTTTGAAGCATGGGTCTTTGAAGTTACAATAGAAACAGCAGCTAAGCAATGATTTAAGTGTGACAGTTCTGCAAAATTGCTTTGTTAACTAGTTAAGTTTTATAGGAAGTTAATAATGCAAAATATTTGTCAAAGATTAAGGGTGTGATGTCCCTTGAAGCTAAGACCTTAGCCACAGCTATTAAAGCTGTTGGGCACAGAGAGGAGATTGATTTGATCTGATGATTTTCATTCAAGGTGCAGTATTGTAGTAAACCAAGATAATGTTGGAGTTGGATAAAATCACTTAAACTAAATATTTTAGTGACATATCCTCCTGTATTCATTCCAAGGGAAAAGGACTCTCATCAAAGCAGATGGTAACTCACAGTGAAAATCTCAAATTTCACTGTGCCCTTATTTTTCCCTGAAAATCTTGATATGTCTTCCTGATGTATTTTACTTTCATTTAAGGTTGTTAGAGCAGTTTCCAGGATTACCATGAAATCAGGAAGCTTTGTTCAGCCAGTTCCTTATGGCTCTGGATTAGCTGGTGGTTGGTTTGAGCTATTTGTCCATTAATGCTTGTTGAAAATAGCTCTGGCTGGGGAGTGTTTCCAGTGTGATGATGTAAAACATCTGGGTGATGCTGCTGCTGTGTTTGAAGCTGATAGCATCACATTGCTTGGAACTGCTCAAAGAGTCAGGGTGATATAGTTATGTGGGATAAAAATGACGTACAGGACATGAATTAAGAGCAGCTTCTCTTGAATATCAGCGTTGCTGAATCCAAGCTTGTAGGTGCTTATTGCTTGTCCTGTGGCTTTGCAGAATCCTGGCTGTTTACACTTGCTGTCTGACAGAGAAAACTGAGTGTTTGGTGGGATTTTGGTTTTACAACACTGCTTTGGGAATCATTAAAATGCTCTGAAAAAAAAAGAGAAAGGGTAATTTTCAATCTAAGAAAATTTTTTATTTTTTTTCCTTATTTTTAGCGCCGTCTTCGTCATCTTCGGAATATTGCTGCACGTAACATTATTAATAAGAATGGTCACCGTCTCTTGGATACGTACTTCACTCTTCACTTGTGTGGTAAAACCAAGATCTACAAAGGTAAACCAGCCTTGCTATCAACCTTTTTGCTAGTTAATCTTTGAATTGTTATGATATGAATTCTCTTCCTTCCTTTTATGTGGGTCTTGACAACTTTCTGCCATTAGTTGCATCACCTTTGCTAACACTGGAAAAGAGCTCTTTAGTTTCCTCAATTTCATGAAAGCTTTCAGTGTTAGCAGCCAAGGAGGCAAAACAGATGACAGGTTTTTGTAGTCTTTCAAATCACCCTATTTTTGTCATTGTTCTTCCCTGAGTGATGATGTAAGAAATTGGGGACTTCCAAGGGCACATAAAAGTTAAAGCTTTTGGAGCTTTGGTTGCCTTTTGTGGGGAAGAGTGTCCCACTCTGTGCACACCCGTTGTTTTACAGAGCATACATCAGCACATACTGTTGTCAAAGTTTTCAAAAAATAGAATTGTCAGCCAATGACATGAAGCATGCAGGCACCTATTCTAGTTTAGATAACTGTGTTTCAACATTAGATCTCCTCTCTTTCTTGCTTTTCTTTCCCACTACAGTATATAGTTCATTGTGGAGAGATGTTATTAAAAATATGTCTTCATTCTCCTTTTGGTGTGATTGGAGATGAATTTTGATTTTCTCTTAATTTTTATTTTCATCTGGCACAGTGACACATCTGGCATCTTGCCTTGCTTTTTTTACCAAGGTTGGTGTTTTAGAAGGATAAGAATACACACCTTGAGCTTACTGCCTGGACTTTGTTGTGGTTGGTTGAACCTGTCACTGACGACTTTTCCTGCAGTGTTTGGTGTTAGGGACTCTTGCACTTCATCAAAGCTTTATCCCTGGTCTCCACTGGGCAGGGATATTGTACAAAATCTGTATTCCTGCCTCTAGAGCTGTCTAAAGTCTTTTAAGCTCTTGCTTTGACTGGGAAAGCCAAGGTTCATGTGCCAGCAGTTGATAATTCCCATTTAAACACAGGGTTGTTGGCACCTTTGTCAGGTAACTTGGCTGTTTCCTCTCTGAGCACCTGGAACAGGTCATGATTTCTCTACAGGAAAGTGCTGTAATTAATTTATCCAAGCTGCTGTGTTCCAGGAAGAGCAAACCAGTGTGGCAAACCAGTCATTTTGCAAATGTCATCCAAAATCTGTTAACTACCTTGCCATGTTCTTTCCTCAGAAATCAAAGCCTTGTAAAACCTGGGGGTTATCATGGGTATAAAGATGAAACACTAAATTTAAATAATGACTTGTAATAAGTAAGTGTGAAGGAGTAATTTTAGTCAAAACCATGACTGAATTTCAAAGTCTGTCTTATGAATTGGTTACTAATAAACTGGATCCATTAACATTTGTCTTTCTTGATTGTTACTTATTTTGGTTTTTTCTGTTTCAAATACTAAGATTTGTATCGGCGTTTAATCTAAAGGTGGTTTTTTTTACTTATTTTTCTTCAGAATTTTATAAGAGTGAGGTGATCAAGAATTCTCTGGTAAGTTCCTTTAATGTGGAAAAACTGTTTTAAAAGTTGTGTATTTAGTGCAGTATGTTGATTTCTCTGCTGAATACCATAACTGTTTAATGTGTCTTTCCACTGTTTGGTCCTGTTAGGAGCAGTGTGTTCTTCTCCTCCTTTTCAGATTCTTTTTATGAAGGTTAGAAAAGGGAGCTGCTGAGTAGTAGAAATGCTGATTTCTATTAACATCTTCATGTTGTGTAGGAAAACAGCAAGGAACATGTACCTGCCAGATATATACATGTATTCTTTGAAGAGCTAATAGCTGTTAGAAACTGAAGTTTAAAGACATGTTAGATTTTCTAAATTTTTCAATTCAGATGAAGGGACCAGAACTGAACAGTTTATTACAAATGAGAAGGGTAGTAATAGGATAGGAGTAGGATGTTGCAAATGTTGGCTAAGGGAGTTTGAAAACCTGCTGAAGACTTCTTAATACCTGCATTAACAAGGTAGAACTGCTCCATTTATAGCACCCTGGGTAAATGCTTTGAAACCCTCCTGAATGAAGGAAGAGCTGTCTGCTTACTCAAGGCTGCTAACTTATCCAGTTTTTCTTGTTAGGATTTTTAGTTCTGTCTATTCTAAATCAGGAAAAGGTAAAAAAAAAAGGGAGACTAACCACAGGATATAAGAGATGGAATAACAAAAATCTAAATAAAAGATGTTTTAAGGACATCCTAAATAAAACCTGTGGGTATTTGAATGACCTGGTGTTCTTGGGCCTGAATAGCTATGAAATACTTCTTGTTAGGAGGACTTGATTTAATACATTTCTTCTGTAATCCTTACTGGGTAACTTTGCCTTTCCCTTCTTTTCAGAGGCATCCTATTTCAAACTGACTCATTCCAGTTCAGGGATGCTAGAAAAGCTAAGCAGCTTTTCCAAGCTGCTTAAGCACTAGAAGGGAAGGCGAATTCTTTCTTGGGGTGGTGGGTTCCTACCTTTTGTTTTGCAAGAGCTACTGTTTCTGTGTTCAGCAGAGGAGGGAGAGTAATAAATATAAATAAAAGCACTTTCCCATTTCTGCTTTTGGACACCCTGTTGTCTCTTGGCACTAGTAATGTGGGGTTGACTTGGTTTTGTTACAGCTTGGGTCAGTTCTTTAGTTGTTGTTAGAGATGAGTGGAAATTCTTGGAACACATCATCTTTGTATGTCTGAGTTCTGGTGGAATTTGCAGTTTAGCTTAATGTGTGCTGGTTCTGAAAAGCTCCAGGTACAAGTCTGATCTTGTGGAGTAAAGATGAGCTTTTAGTGACAGCATTTGAGGATTGAGCATCAGTCAAGAGGAGAAGAATGTGAACAAATACGTCAGCAAGTTCTGCAAATTTAATTATTGGGGAATATAGCAGCATTTAACTTTGGGAATACATGCTATAGTCTGGTTTTCAGAAGCTGAATTATAACTATGAAAGAAATGCTACTTCCATTTTGAAAGTTCCTTATTTGGTTAAGCTGAATTAGTAATTTCTGAAGTAGATTCTTTGATGTCCTGTAATGGAAGGAAGCAAAACCCATTCACAGTTTCTGAAGTACTTTACAGCATGTACCTTTTAACTGAGAAATTCTCTCTAGCAAACCATGTAAGGAAGCAGCAGAGCTTGAAATGGCTGATGTTCCTAATTCTTAACATTTTTAAAAATCTTTGGGGTAGGCTTTGCTGGTTTCTGAATTGTCAATTTATGGCCTAGTTTCAGCTTGTTTTAACTGTATTTATCCTTCTTTGAATACTTAGAATCCAACATGGAGGAGTCTGGACTTTGGGATAATGCCTGATCATCTTGATACCTCTGTCTCTTGTTTTGTTGTGAGGATCTGGGGTGGCAAGAAGGAACACTTTCAGCTTTTGATTGAATGGAAGGTCAATTTAGATGGGTTAAAGTACTTGGGCCAGCAGGTAATGTGAAAATATTTTTTCTCAACTTTTTCCTTCAGGAAACAAAACATCTGGATGAATTGATATATAGAATGCTGAGAAAGGAAATGAATGTGTTTAAAGATTGTACTTTAAAGTTTGATTACAGATATTCATGTTAGCTTACATCAGAGCTTTAAATCATTAAATCATATAGTGGTTGGGGTTGGAAGAGACCTTAAATATCATCCAGTTCCACCCCCAGCTGTGAGTGGGGACACCTTCCACTAGACCAGGTTGCTCCAAGCCCTACCCATCATGGCCCCCTTCCAGGCATGGGGCAGTCACATCTCCTGTGGGCAACCTGTGCCAGGACCTCACCACCCTCACAGCCAAGAATTTCTTCCAATATCACATCTAACCCTGCCCTCTGGCAGGGACAAGCCATTCCGCCTTGTCCAAGGTCCCTCTCCAGCTCTCTTGGAGCTCCCTGAGCCACTGACAGGGGCTAACAGGAGCCTTCTGTTCTCCACACCAACCTCTTGAGTCTTACCTCTGTTAGTTTCCAGCTATCTTAATTTATTTTTGTCACCTGGAAATGCAGTATAGGAAAGATGCTCTGTCTGGTGTTTCTGAGTTCAAAGTAGAATGGCTGAGCATGGTGACTATTGCTAAAGCTGTGAAGCAAGCAGATTTTCCATGTTAAATGCAGTTTTATGTGAGTTTTTGTGTACTTTTAGAATTACAAGTGATGAAAAACTGCCTTAGACTCTTGGAGCAATTTGGTGTGAAAATTTGCAGCAAGCTGGGTGTAAACTGGTTTGTTTTCTTCCTTCCCTACAGATCCATGCAAGAAACCCAAATGAGATTATTTTTGGTCTCAATGATGGTTATTATGGAGCTTCATTTGAACAGAAGGTAAGGGTGTACTTGTTCTGGTTTGTTGGTACTGGTGACAAACTGAAATTCAATCTGTGAGATTGAGCACCCAAATGTGGAAAAATCAGAACAATAAAATGCTTTGTTTTGAGAAGGAATAGTTTTTTGACATGACAGATACAAACTAATATCTTGCCTTGGTTGCATGGATATCTGTGATGTTTTCAAAAGACTTGAACTGTAGCATTTAGGGTCCAAAAACCCTCTTAGTTACTGGAAATAAGCTTTGACTGTATTCTTTAAGGCAGACATGTCTTTCAGACATAGGACCTATTGAAAGTGATGTGGTTGTTAAGACTCATTTTCATGGCATGTATAAAGCCACAAAGTTTTGATTTTCAGTCTGCAGCCTAGAGTTTGTAGGTCTTTAATGAGAAGTTATTTATTTGCTCATTCTGCACCTGTTTTACCCCATGGGTTTTTTTCTCAAGAATCCACTGTAGTATTTGTGCCTCTCCATCCAATATTGTCTCTATTATTACCTCATTGATGATGAGGAGTTTTAAACTTACCTGTTGTAAATAGTGCCTCTGACAGTTTTTTTTTTTTAATCCTCAATTGTTGGTGGCAGTACTGTGGTCCAGATAGGTTGTGTGGTTGGAGTGGAAATGACTCCCTGACACACAGCTGCAGTTTCTGCATTCAGTTTTCCTGAAGCAGGATGCAGTTGTTTTTCAAGATTTCAGTACTGACAGCCTGGGCCTGAATTCAAAGATGAGAACATTGTCTTTTTTTTCTGATTGTTGTCAGGACTTGTTCCCTAGCTCATAAGGTTTAAAGGTACTTCTTGGTTTTGGTTATAGAATCATTTCATAGAATTGTTTGGGTTGCAAGGGATCTTCAAGACCATCTCATTTCATCCCCCTGTCATGGGCAGGGACACCTCCCACTAGATCAGGTTGCTCCAAGCCCCATCCAACCTAGCCTTGAACACTTCCAAGGAAAGGGCATGGTGATGATGGTAACTTGTACATTTTCAGTTTTCCACCATCCTAGTTCTTTCAGACAGACATTAAGATGTTTTTAGTTTGGTATTTTTTAAATGGAGAGATGTCTGGATTTCAGCATTTAGCATCCAGTGTCTTGGGTATGAAAATGAGGAGCTGAGAGAGCTGCTGGGATGGTGCCTCTGCAGCAGTAGGATGGTGCTACACAGTGTGTAGATCTGAGGATTATTTAGATGGAACCATATTTTTGATGGAAAGGAATGTCTGCTGTGTGGCCTATGGTTAACACAATTGTGTCAGGAGATGTTGATGTTTATCTCTGAATTTCAACATCTTCTGTATGGAGACAGACTTTTGTTGGGGCAGCAAAGACTCTTTAGGCAGGGATTGTGGTACTCAGAATCCCCCTCTATCTGTTGGAAAGCTGCCTGATCACAGGTATGAGATAGGGCTGCTTTTTACTTTAAAGTGCCTTTTTTCCCTGCAATCCACAATCTTTCTGACAGTGCTGACAGTGGCTTGACCTGCTTAAAATTTACTTTATCATGTAAAGCAACATTTCTAAGTTTGCAGCTTTTCTAGGAATTTGTATGACACTGCCTGATATGGAAAAGCTCAATATCTGGCATTTGCAGCATGAGGAATTGCTGGTTTTCTCTTACTGTTTTGATACCTTTTGAGCAGAATGGATACTCTGATCTCTTAAAAGAACAACCTTACCTCATTCTTACTTTGTAACTTCCAGAAACTTGTTCATTCAAAACTGAGATTACTTTGATCTTTTCGTGTGTTACAGCACAGATAAAGGATGGAGCTTTATCTCATGTTCATGTAATTCTCTTTCACATGACTGAGGGGGCTCTCAGGTCTGAAGGTGAAGAATGGCAGTGCTGTCAGTTGCATTTTTCCGTGTTTCTATGCATAAAATTCAGACAGTTATGGTTTATAAAGTTCAAGAAAACACACTATGTGCTAGAACATAGATAAACTGATATTTTTATTCCTTTATAGGTAAGTGACGATATTGCCACCTTAAATTGTTTCCACCTACCATAGATAAAACATGTGTAAAGATAGATTTAAAATACATTAAATGCCAAATCATTTATTCTACTAAAAGTGTATGCTCTTACTCAAGATGGGTTTTTTAAAATTTTTTTAAAGTAATATTCCTTCTTTTCCTCAAGGATCACTCAGGTACCCTGAAGAACAGTCTTCTCCAGGTGGATCAGAACTGTGTTCGTAACTCTTACGATGTCTTCTCTTTGCTTAGGTGAGGTTTTTGATAGTATTTTGTGTAGCTGTTGTAACTTCTGCAGTGTCTGTGTGGGAGGAATCTTTCCAAATATTAAAAAACCCCAACATTCTGCTATGGAGTGTGCAAAGGAGATATCCAGGTTGTGCCAGTATACTCGTGTGGTGAGGAGCTGGGCTGTGGTGTGTGTGTGTGTTCAGTGGTGGTCGCTGGGCTTCTGTTGTGTAGATGCTTGAGTCTCTGAACCAGGACTGACTGTGGAGCTGGACATGCCTTGTGAATGTCAAAATCATGGAGTTTCTTTGTTGGAAAGTTTCTGTGGAAAGCCTCTACTTTGTTCTCAATAGCAATAATTTTTTTTTAAATACATGAGAACACAGTCAGACCCAGCTACTCCAACACAGATGTGGACTAAGAAAGGTACAGTGTATTTTTTGCTTTTGGGTGGCTAATTAAATATCTGTGGTGATAAAAAACATAAAGTGCTAGTATTAAGTTAAACAAGATGTCCTTTTTCAGATCTGTTTTAATTATAGTAGTTCAAAAATATTAGTTATGAAAAGGTATAATTGTGGTCTACCACTATCAGTAAGTTGGTTTTGAGGAATCTCTATTTAAATGGCGTTTTACAAGACAAGCCAATAACTTCTGCAGTAAAGGAAGTTTCCTTCATGTGCTATGAAGGAAACCCTTGAACAGGAAATGCTTAATATGCTTTCAAAAGTCTGTGTAAACATTTGACTTTTTAAATCAGTTGTGCAAGTTAAATCCATTTGACAGTGTTGACAGTAGGTGTCAGTGTTGCCTGTCTGGAGAGAGAGGAAAAGTCAGCTTAGGTTGCCTATTCAGATGTCCTTATTTAAGCTCTCTTAAAATTTAGCTGTTCTCTTTCTTGATTCTGTAAAGCATATTTAAACTGAAGGCTGCTTTCTAAATGTTTGTTTTCTGTGCTTTCAGTGGGAATCAACCAGGGGGCGTATTAGGATGTTCTGATTACATTTTGGCACAGTCCACTAAAAGAGAACTTGTACTAGCTGACATTAACTCTTTGTTAGACAGAAAAAGGAAAGCATGTGCAGTGTACCCTGATTACTTCATTCAGGAGTGTTTTTCATGTTTTGTGTACACCTCTATATATGAAGACAAGTGCAGAAAAAAGACTCACTATGGTCATGAGCTTGACCCCTGTCTAGCTCTGTGTAATTGATCTGTAATCCTTCTTCTGAGCATGCCTGACTGTTTTTCCTCAGGCTGACAAGAAATTAAGATGTCAGCTGTGATAAAGTTCACCTTGTTGAATGACCAGTGCTGTTTTGAGCCCTGACTACTGGAGCCTCTCTCTTTTGGGGATGTGAGAGTACAGGCTCAAGTCTCTCATAGTGCCTAGGCATGCTGTTGAGTTTAATTTCTATTAAGTTTTGTCTCTGAGCTGAGAAATTCTCCTTTTCTATTTTGTCCCAAAAGGAACAGTGTTTTCCAAGCCTCAGAACCAGGCCTGCTGCTTATTGTGTTTTAGTGGATTCTGCATACCATATCAAGGGGTTTACATTGCATTGTTCAGTTCCAGCAGAAGTTAGAAGCTGTAATTTGTGACTCTGCCTAGGTGTCATCTTTGTCTGATTTCTCTGTAGTTAGGGAAGTTAATCAGGAACTAAGCAGAGTCATCTGTGTAGTTTAGAATCCTTTCTATTCCCTCTCACATTAACTCTGTTTGCATTTTCTATACTGCTGCTTAGCTTTGATATCAAGCTGAAAAGCCTGGTGATGATGTTTGTTTAAAACAATCTCTAGTCACTTTTTGTTAGGTGTCCTTTTTCTCCTACCACGCAGTTTGGTTTGCCACCTCCTCCAGCAGTCCATGCTTAAATAGCCAGCCCATGAACTCTTCCCAAAGATAGTTTGTATGAGTGTGTTCCTCTTTGAACAAAAGAGAGAGATGGGCATAATTTGAGTTATGATTCATTAGATAGGATGTGTCTAATGTCTTGGGAGGTGTTTTGGTTTGAAAAGACAAGTGTCTGCTAAGGAAGGCAGGAGCCTCACTTGAAACAGAAAATGCAAACCTTCTCCCTCCAAATTATTAGAATTTTGAAATTAAGGGGATCTTAGGCAAAGGTATGGGAGTAGAATAACAGTTATTTATTAGGAAAAAAATTAAAAATTAAAATAAAAATATAAAAATAAAAATGCAGTAATACAAAACAACACTGACAGAGTCAGAATACAGCCTGACACTCTGTGGGTCAGGGTGTTGGTAGCAGTCTGATTAAATGGTGGCTGCAGTCCTCCTGGAGTGTCCGGTGTGGTTCTGTTGGAGCAGTGATCCTGTAGAAGGGTGTAGTTTCCCTCTGAAGATCCAGTGGTGGTGTAGATGGGCCTGGTCTTCCTCTGGGAATCCAGTGGAAAAAGGTTGCTTGTGGTATTCCAAGTCTCGGATTATATCCAGTCAGGAATGCTTGGCTCCTCCCCCTGGGCAGAGCATCTCACAATGGGATGCTGTAATTTTATCAGCCATGCAGTGACACTCAATGCCCCATTAACAGAAGATCTCTCCCAGAGGGAGGATTGGTAGTGGAAGAGATAAAGAAACACTGCCCCACCTGCTTTTAACAGGTGGCCCAATTAACAGCAGAAACTGCCCCACATCTAGCAGATGGCAATAGAATACACACCCCCAGCCACATCTTGCATTTGCAACTTAAGACAGGAGGAAATGAGTTGCTCTCTTCCTTCTTCTTTCCATTGGCTGTAAAGAGAATACTGAGGTGTCCACACCATAAAGATTTGCATCTGGTCACATAAATCCCATGTTTTGAAGAGTTTCTCATGATAAGATATTTGTTTGTAATAAAAATTCACAGGCTGCACATGTGGTTTCCTAATGTTTTCACAATAAATGTGGATATTAAGAACAGCTTGTACTGGATTTATTTAAACTTTTACAAAAGGAAGCAAATCTTGGTGACAGTGGCATCTGAGTCCCAGTTTTGTTGATACTGTGCTGCCAGATGTGGCAAAGCCACTGATAGCCAAAATGGAGACAACTGGTTCTAGCTCATCCCCCAGCTCCTGGCTGCACTGTGAGAACTTCTGTGATTGATCTGTGTTTCAGAACTGCTTTTGGGGGAAGATGTGATGTAGTTTTTTTCCTCAGAAGTGAATAGTTCAAATTTATGAAGCTTGTGAATTGACCTTAATGAAAAGTGTATGCTTGGCTCAAATTGATTAATAAAATTAATTGGGAATGACAGAGTGTGTGAACAATAGAAATTTTTTTGTGCATTGGATTAAAGTAGTGCTTGTGTTCAGATGCTGAGTGACGTGGATTTATAAGTCAGTTAAACAAGAGGAAAAAGTGAAATGTTCAGCCAACTCCTCTTTACACAAAGAACATTTCAGCACCTCTGCAGCTCATGGCCCTTCTTGTTCTGGGACCAGGGACAATATCCTCAGGCAAACATGGTGTTGCTTGGAAGTTGTTTGCCATAAGAAAGTGACAAATGTTCTTCCAGCCATTTGCTTTAAAAGGGCTAACTAACAAGAATTCACCATATCAACTGGAAAGCTCCAATTTTGAGGTTTTTATTTCTTGTCATATTTTCTGAAAAAAGATAATTTAAAGACTTTCTAAACATTATGTTGCTGATAGTAATGGGTTATACAGTAAAAACTTTCACACAGCACTCAGGATGGGCCAAATTCATCTGAGGTCATGTTCTGGACATGTCTCAATAATCAAGTTCTGAGCACGTTTGCGGCACTAATGGGAATAGGTTTAAATTTAGGATTCTCTTGGTTTTCTAGCCTTTTTTTTCCTAAAGCTTTGAAAAATAGACATGTAGTATTAAGTAGTGTTGGGAAGATGAGATCACTAAAGAAAGGGCTTAAAATGCTATGTAATAAAATTTTACTTCAATGTCTAAATCCAAAAATTAATATAGTGTATTCTGCAACTGCTTTTTTGTTTTGTTGTGACACAGAGCAATTGGTTTGTGTCTCTAAATATGTGACTGCCTGAAATCCTCGCATATTCTTCCTGAAGACAAAGAGGACTCTAAGAACTAGTGAAAATCTGCCCCTTTGAAGTTTTGCTTCCAGCAGTTTTTATTACTCCATTCAAAACTGCTGTCTCTATGGCTTAACTGTTCTTCAGCAGATGGCATGGTGTGTTTGTGGTGGTTAGTCAGCTACTTCGTGCAGATTGAAGACATTTTGCTTGTGTTTTTGCTTTAAAAAAGTGTTCTTTTGCAACAAAACCAACAACAGAATTTAACATTGGCATCATTTGAGTGCTGGGCTGGGTAAAAAGACTAGCTACAGGCAGCTGCTTAGGATTATTAGTGTCTAATCTGGCAGAATTTGATTTGAATGATACTTGTGGGTATTTATCTCTTATAGGGCAGGAGTATGCTTCAAGTGACAGAGTTTGCTTCAGGGTTTGCCATCTGTAATATAATTGTTCACTTAAAGAAGAGTGCATGTCTCATCATTGAAGAGATATTATTTAAGAATACAAATATTGGTAGTGTTTGTCTGTGATCTGGAACTGAGATGTTCATAAAATCACCTTCTAGTGACCATGGCTAAAACATGTTGATGTGATAGAAAATTAGCTTTTGTTTAGCTCTGCTTAATTTAGGGAAGATGGTTTTAAACAGCTATTTTGCTTTTGTTTAAAATCTTCCATCTTTATTAACAGTTTTATTGAACAAACAGAACTTGATCTTTGAAACTAGAAATTAAGACAAAATATATGGTCAATGTAGGCTGCTGTGGAGCTGAAAAACTTATTAGTAGCTCCTCAGTTTCTCTGAGACTGCAGTCCCTGGGTTTGCATATGCCAAATCTATATGTAATACCTTTGTGCAGCTATTTTTAACACATGAAAATAATGCTGAAAGTGAAACAGTTTTTCATAAGCTCTGAGTAGGGAATGGTAGAGCAGCACAAGGGCTTTGTGGGCTTAGGCTGCTCAGTGCTGAGGTGTATCTCGGGTACATTGACTTGACTTGTGTTAA